GCTGGGAGAAATGCTTACCTCGGCCACGCTGACTGATTCGATGACAAAATTTCAACATAGACATTATATATCGCAGAATCTTCTTTGAGCTCTAGCTGCATGCTGTGGGGTGGCCGACATCCCCTTGTCTTGAAGTGTGTAAGCTCAGCAACCATTTCCGTATAGCATGAACCAGACCCATTCTGGATATCCACACTGTGTAGATTACATAAGAGCAACGTACGTGTGAGCGGTACAGCTTCTCGGTCAGCCGTGGTTCATAAGACGGCCACGAGTGAAGGTCGCCGACACCGAGGATCGACACAGTGACGTGCTGAAAACAGGAGACAAAGCAGCAAAAGGCTTGCAGTGGTAACGAGACATGTGATATTAAATGTTACGAACGAGTGTCGGACGGTCAGTCAGTCGATGGTAGCCAGGCTGCCTAGGTAGCCAATCAGGCAGTGACGTACGCGGTGAATGGTTGACGGGCCGTGGCTGCAGCGAGCTGGTCCATGTGAAGTCTAGCGCCAGCCTTGCTAAATGCAGTTCAACATTTTTCTATGTACACGACAACACCAGCCACCTCACAACAACTTCCAATCCAAACACTTTTACGCGCATCAACCTTTGTTCGTGTCGCCAACTCTCGTTTGTGTCGCGCGCAATGGCTAGAGCTTCCCGTTCTGCGAGCGCAAAGCCCGCTGAGAAGAAAGACGCCAAAGATGTCAAGGTGAACGGCACCCGTACGTCACGTCCACCCACAGTAACCATGCCATCGCTGACAGACCTCGCAGTCCCACGAAGAGGCGCGAAGAAAGCCGAAGACGCGCCTGTCGCCAACGGCATAGCTGAGGAAGCCGAGGAAACTGAGGACGTCGAGATGGCCGACGAAGACACCGAAGAAGTCGAGGCAGCTCCACCAAAGCGTAAGCTCAACGCGTCCGAAACAAGGTCAACCGCTAAGAAGACAGCAGCTGCTGGACGCAGTCGCGCAAAGAAGACAGAGACTCCTGCACCGGAACCCGCGGGCGCGCCTAAGAAGACGACCAAGCGCAAGAAGGACGATGAAAGCGAACCGGAGGTCGAAGACGCGCCTGCGCCCGCCGTGAAGAAGCCCAAGGTAGCGAAAGCTGCCCCCAAGGCTGCCCCGAAAGCAGCAGCGAAAGCCGCCCCGAAAGCCGCGTCAAAGACCGCAACGCCAGAGCCCGAAGCCGCAAATGTCGATCCGGCTCTGATCCCGAACCCCAAGGGCCCGCGTCGCAACAAGGGCAAGAAGACTGAGATCAACGAGATCCGCTACACGGAACCTCTGAAGGTTTTTGTCTTTGGTGAAGGCTCTTCCGGCGAACTCGGCTTCGGCGCCACAAGCAAGGCCATCGACGTGAAGCGGCCGCGCTACAACGAGCCTCTGTCCAACTTAAACGTTGTCAAGATTGCTACTGGCGGCATGCACGTTGTCGCACTCACAAAAGACAACAAAATCCTGACATGGGGTGTCAACGACAACAATGCCCTTGGACGCGACACGTCGAACGCACCCGTCAAGATGCGTGATCTAGACGCGGACGACTCTGACTCCGACTCTGAGGATGAGACCGGCGGCTTGAACGACGCTGAGGCCACACCAACGCCCGTACCATCCGAGTTCTTCCCTGAAGACACCACCTTTGTCGACGTCGCTGCCGGCGATAGCTGCTCTTTCGCACTCACTACTGAGGGCGCGGTCTATGGATGGGGCACATTCCGAAAGAACGAAGGTATCATGGGTTTCGAACGCGACAATCATACAGCGCCTCGACCCGTCTACATCGACAGCATAAAGAAGGTCATTCAGCTCGTGTGTGGTACCAACCACGTCTACGCCCTGGACAAGGACCACCACGTATATGCTTGGGGTAACGGCCAGCAAAACCAGCTTGGACGCCGTGTCACTGAGCGTAATCTCATCCAAGGGTTGCAGCCCAACAAGATTGGTTTCCACGACTCTTCCATCAAGAAGCACAGCCAACGCATAACACACATCGCATCCGGCGACTACCACGGTCTTGCCATCGCAGAAGATGGGCACGTCTGGGGCTGGGGTGCGAACAACTACTGTGAGACTGGTTACACCAAGAATGCTGGTGCAGATGATGCTAGCGTTCTCCAACCCAAGATCATACACAGTTTGGAAGGCAAGGGCGTCCAATCATTGGCGGGAGGCTCGCATCACAACTTGGCCATCACCAAGGATGGACAGGTGCTAGTCTGGGGTCGCTGCGACGGCTCACAGACTGGTCTTCCTCCGTCCCAGCTTGATGCAGAGACGGATGAGCACAAGGTTCTCAAGAACAACGGCAAGGCCAAGATCGTCGTGCAGCCGACACCCCTTCCCGGCCTCAAGAACATTGTCGCTGGTGCATGCGGTCCTGATCACTCCATCGTCGTTGACAAGGACGGCAAGGCTTACTCATGGGGTTTCTCGGTCAACTTCCAAACAGGTCAGGGTACCGACGACGACATTGAAGTCCCTACCTTGATCGACAACACCGCTGTACGTGAGACGAAGCTTACATGGGCTGGTTGCGGTGGTCAATACAGTATCCTGGCAAGCAAGATGGAGTAGGCTGTCCAGCCTCCATCTCAGCTTGACGCTGGGAATATTGATGGTGGCAACTCTTCATCAGGTTGCTCTCCATTTTTCACATTTAGTTGTTGTGTTTCACCTTTAGGACATTCAGACCAGCATTCACGGCGTTCTACTCTTTCACGGGTCGTTTTGGGATAGCGAATATCTGATTCTGCACACGGGGTTATCCAACGTATTCATTGCGCGGCTGAGGGTTAGGCCTTGGAAAACGACATGGCTATAGTAGAAGGCGTAGATTGGGAGGGAGGCTCAGCCGTGCTCGTGAATAACTTGTAATAGTACGATGACATGCTATCTTTAAAGACGACGTCCTGTACATATATGCGGTGATGTCTCGTATCTCAGAAACCTTGCGCAGACATATTGTGCCATGAGACGAAAGACGTACCTAGGTCGTGAAGGCTCCAGGGCTCATGATGGACTGGTGAAAGACGGACCCTTACATAAGCAACCGATGACGCTCGACCCTTCTTAGCCAAAAAACATCATCACCAATGTCCAAAGCGCATCGATAGCAACCCCGCAACAGCCCACTTCTACGATTGCAAACCCCTTTGTACGCCCTCCGCAGACAAATACCCGAAATATTCGAGACTGACGGATTGCGCAGCGTCTCACCCGCCTCCGCAACGATGCCACCCAAGCAGATGACAGGCAAGGGCCGTACCCTCAACGAGCCCAGCTTCGCGTCCAGCACGATCTCAGCCTTTACGAGCAAGGATAACAGGAGTATCGTTACTGCCGCTGGAATGTTCGCTGTAAGCCACCCTAGGTTCTCGAAAATATCAGATGAAGGATAGAGCGCGATACAGAAGGAGGACATAGGCAAGGGCAAATGCTAATGACCGGGTGTAGATTGGCGTAACATTCCTGCAAAGCAGCTGGGCCGAGATCCTACTTCCCGCGTAAACCCGAATCGATCTCATACAAGGAGACAAAGCGGCCGCGCCAGCGAACGAGTTAGGCGGAAATGCGAGTAGCCATCGCAGGACAACAAACTATCCTCGACGCCATGTACAAAGAAGCAAACTCCAGTTTGAGGAAGAGCATTGAAAAGGAAGGCGTTCAGGCACGAAAGCACACCTACCGGTAGTGTGAAACAATATCCCCAAAGCCTTCTCTAAAACGGTCCATAACGATCTTGTAACATTATGTATAACAATGACGAGAACACGCCTACACGCTCTGTCCCTTCTTTTTGTCATTGCAGTGCTCTCAATTAGACTTTTGGCAGTTCGTCTCACCACCTCATATCTTTCGGCATCAGTCATCGCAGTACGTCACTGCTCTCTCCACACAATGATCCGAAACACCATGCGCGTCACCCGCATCAACGCGTACGAAGGTTCTGTAACCCACACAACTGGAACATACCAAGCACTGTCTTGCTGTCACAGAAATGCTTAGCAAAATAGACTTTTCGGATTGAACCGCAACGTGTTCGTCTTTTCTTCTTTCTTCCTTTTCACATCTCCCGAGACGCAGTCTCAGCTTGGCCCGAGTTTCACGTCGCCTTGTCGAGCTTTTCATCAGCTTCCTTTACGAGTACTAACGTTATTGGCGAGAATACGCGCGTCGGCTGCTGAGTTTGACATAACGGTGTGTGACGTCCTTTCTTTTGCACGATGGCGAGATCGGAGACGCGGATTTGCCATTTGCCGTCCGGATTTCCCGCGGGTTTGTCACGAGCTGTTTCGGGCGCGTAATCGGACGTATCGGAAGCACACGCGTGGCGTACGCACATACGTCGTGGTGAACAAGTTGGTGGACGGTATCGTTTGGCTATCGTGAAGTGTGCCTTGGCGCTCATGAGCTGTCTGTTGTCATTGCACGCGCCAGTCAGTTCGCCGAGACAGGCTTTGGGTTTATTGGCAAGTTGCAACAACGATGGTGATTCGTACTCGGTAGATTACTTTCATACGGCACGGTGGCGTCAAGGACTAGTTAGTCTGCGGCGCAGCGAAAGTAACTTGAATGGTAGTTTGAAAACCTGGTTGTTGGTACTTCCACGCGCTGGTGGCGCATGCAGAAGGCCTAAACTGCGTGGTAGCTATCTACTGCACGTACTCCGGGTACCAATGCACGTATTTACACGATATCACATTGCGGCGGAAACAATTGTTGGTGGAAGTTCTTCATTCGTAAGGTTCGATTACGCCTTTCATACATGCAAAGCCGACTCTAATAGCGGATCAACAGTCCGGCTGTGAAAAAAGAGTGTACAGGTGTTTATGCATGCCAGCAAAAACCAGCAATTATGCTCGCTACAAATACAGCAAGATCGAGCGCTGTCAAAGCAAGTACGCCGAAGCAATCAATATGCGTTCGCGAGGATGAAAGGAAATGTAATGTGGATCGTAATAATGCGTGATGCTGGGGTATCTCTAGTCTATACTTCTCTAACCCAAACCTGATAAAGTAGTTAGTACGTAGTCTTGAAGCTGAAAGTGCACGATGAACTTACCTCCATCTTGGCCATATCGCTGCCTTCCTTCCTTGCAACACTCTTCGCCGTCTGGATGGCCATGTCAAGATCGTCCTGGTCGGCCATGGTGATCATGTCGCCATCGTCTTTGAACTCCACCTTGAACTTATTTCGTACACCGAACTTCTCCCGAATCTGTTGCCAGAATTCAGTGATTAACTGATCGGAACTGATAAAGACGTAACGTGTGTCGCTAGAGTGGACCTTCACTCTGACTTTGCTGCCTGCACCGCGGGTGCTACCACCAGATCTGGCGGAGCGGGCGGGGGATCGTCTCCTGGATTTTGTGCGAGACATCATCTCGAATTCGGCATCATCAAGATCACTACCATCGTAGTCGTCTTCGTCTTCTTCTTCAATGTAAGCCGGTCGCCTGCTCTGTTTTGAGCGAGCGTATGCCCCGCGGCTCCCACGAGAAGGCGGGTAGGGGTCATTGTCGTAGTAGTCGTCAATGATATCATCGTCAGACCCACGGCGACGTGGCCTGTAGTCACGGTCTCGCTGGTCTCGCTGATCCCGCTGATCACGTTGCCCTCGGTCTCGCATTGACTCTGAACGACTTGGTGGTGGACGTTCAGAGGCGGAGCGCTGTGTTGGCTGGCGACGAGGCGGCTCGTTGTTGCTTTGCTGATCAAAGGCAGCTCGTCCAAGGTTCAGAGGCTGAGGCTTAGGGCCACCGCCTCGTACGGATTGCGCGCGGCTCATGGGAGCATCGGCGGCAGGTCTCCGCTCTCCACCAGATCTCCTGTCACCAGACCTTCTGTCTGCCTCCGGTGGCGGTGTGGGTGGGAACATGTTACGGTTCATTGGTGGTTCTGACTGCTGGCGTGCTCTGCTCTGAAGTTCTGGCTTGACAAGGTTGGTCGCCGCGTACGAGATCTTATCCTCAGTTCTGTCATCTTTTGCGGCCTGGCCTCCCTTCTTGATTTCGGCGCCAGCGAAGCCAGTAAAGGCATTGGCCCGGTCTGAAGCAGCGACCAGGCGGGCTTTTCCAAGATAGTCCTTTGTCTTCAGGTTCTTGACCTTGGCTTCGTTGGGACGGTAGACAATGCCGACGGGAATGGAGAAGACAGTGTAGCCTTCTGCTTCCTCCCGAATAGCCTCGTCGATCACATCATGGTCGGGCACCACTTTCTCCTTGGCTGCGAAAGACAGATCCTGTAGACCGGCGTCTCTTTGCTGGAGGTAGATGTAGCAAAGACCGCGATTGAACAGTACCTCGCAGGAGTATAGCTTGAACTTGAGACCCAATTGTTCGTAATCGATGTTGTTGTTTCCGCGTAGGTAGAGGAGTGTGTCGTTGAAGTTGGCGAGGGCTTCCTCGAAGTCGCCCATAAGGAAGTTTGACACACCCTGCTGGAAATATGCCACTGCGAGGTACTGGTCCAGACGCACAGCGCGCTGGTAGCAGTCGACCTGTGTAGCCATCAGTACGTGCTCCTACTACTGGAGCCATTGCCCAACTTACCGCCTTCTCATGCTCGCCGAGTGTGGCATGGATTACGCCGCAGTTGAACAGAATCTTGGACGTATCGGAGATTGTGTCAAAGACCTTCAATGCGACGTCGAACTCATTGTTGTCGTAGCTGGCGAGGGCTGCCACCCAGGTTTCGATTTCCTACCCCACCTATCAGTAATTGAACTCGGCAGGAGCGGCGACGCGCGGGAGGAAGGAGCGCACCTGCTTCAGAGACATGACGAGTGATCTTCACTTGTTACCCGGCAGTATGGTGTCGTCAAGCCTCAAGGTAGTGCCTTTCCTAGCACTCCACCGTTGGACGAGGGGTCGTGTTCCTTCTCACGCGCAAACTTCCGGATGTGTTCGTCTCAATTCCACCAGATTACAGAGTAGCCGCCGGGGCTTGTGGATATGCGCGACGAGGTGAATTAGTGTCCAGTAGGTGTGTGTCGCTATTAAGTCGTCGAGGTACACCGAGATGCGGTGGGTTGCGCGGGGGAGTTAACGATCGTACAGGTGTGGGAATTAAGGCACAGTAGGGAAACCGGGAGAGAGAGGAGGAGGTTTCGAGGGCAATGCTCGGAAGAGACAGGGACACGGTGGGAATTTGGCGGGCGGTTGCAGGAGGGCTACCGGTGGGGAGACCAATTCTGAGGTCCAGCGCGTTTGAGAGACAAGCCTTGGCCGACACGGTACCCGGCACCGTGATTGGATCCCTGCACCGTGAAGCCCGAGAGCCACAGCGCTACGCGCCTGTCCAAGACGCCTCAACCCGGCCGACTCGAGCATGACACCACCGTCCTGCGATGCTCCGAGAGCCTAGCGATTCTCCCAAGCGCCTCTGCAGTCCCCATAGCCTCGCGTCGTGAGGCTCACTGCCAGCAACCCACCGCGGCGCACATCGGACTGCTGGCCCCCTGCGATCATCGAGTGATGGCGTTTGAGGTCTGTAACGTGCAAATCCGCCGACTGAGACAGCCACGTGACGCAGCCTCTCCGCAGCCACTCATCCCGTCGCCTGGCGTTTTCAGGCATGAACGCATGACGATTCCAGGCCTCGCAAAGTCCGTGTTCGCGCAGTCTTAGTTTCGGCCTAGATTTCAAGGTGCAAGCCCTATCTCTCGTCACCAAACCAACACGGCATTTCGACGGCACTTTATTACTTGGTCTATCTTGGTGTCTCTTGAACTCATAGCATACCGCGATCGCGCTGTTCTTCCCTCTCCTGCCAGACCGTCTTGCCAGAACATGAACACACCGTCTTGTCGTCTGCACAACCGTTAGCACATACGCACGCGAAGAGTACCACACGCCATGCGCAGAACACGTGGGGTACCAAGAGCACTCACTGTCCCAAACACCAGCGCTACGTGCGATGACACCCACTAGCGTATCCGGATCGTTCTTGTCAAACTGTGCAAGGTCAGAGTAGATCTCAGATCAACTAGCGGTTTCGCATACCTTGCCGTCTTGCTCTCGCGCAACTACGATGCTACGTCCGATCATCTCCCAGATGTGGATGGGCTTGTCCAGGAACACAGATCCGACTCCACCCTTTCCTACCTGGATGGTTCCAAAGATGCCCCGACACGGCTTGTCTTCCTTTTTGGCCTTGAGATACTCCCAGATGGCGCCGGTAGATTCTGGTCCGTCGGATATGTCGCCAGATTCGCGAACTGTAGCCTGGTACGTTCCAGGCGACAATCCCCTTATGCTCAGATCGATGATAGTCATACTCGGAGCTACTTCAACCATGCGCACTAATCCTCGAACTTTGTTCTCTACATTATGTGCGTGCGATTCTAAGATGCATACTGCGGCGCCTGTTCGGACGTTAGAATCGACGCACATGCCGACTCTTCAAGATGGAGCATACTGTCTGATCTTCCAGATCCTCTTAGAATTGCATCACGGCCAGTTGCTTGAATAGCCTCAACAATGGCCGATGGCGCTGCTGTGCCCTCGACAGATACCAGTTGATCTTTAAGGTTGGCAGTGATTTTGTTGACACCTACATGCTGTTAGAAGCCGGATGACGTGCATCGGGATCAGTCGTACCACTCAGTTGCTGGAGGGAGCCTTCGATGTCGTTGATACACGACTGGCAGGTCATAGGCACCGCGAAGATGGTTTCAAACGACGGGACAGTCATGTTGAAAATTGTGAATTCGAGTGTAATGTTGTTTGAAACCCTGTGCTATTGGTAGAATGGTCAAGTTGCGAGCATGCCACTTCGCCTTTGGGACGCTTTGAAATCGAGGCCCCACCTAACCATGGTGTGGCGCAGGGCGGGCGGCCGTCCCCGGGCCATATTTTATCGCCAATCCACGTTGGATCCCAGGCTTGGCATCGACTTCCATCCACGCCGACAAGCCAACGCCGCTCGTAGCTTCGCCAGTATCTCCCGAGCGAGAACCCCGGACTCCAGGTCAATACCGACGCCCGACTATACTTGGCCTATTAGGTCATTGACTTCGCAGCCGCCATGTCGCAAGTCATAGGAAAGGTGTGTATTCTGTCGGACCTCCGCATCTCAGAACTCCATGATCGCAGCCAAAGTCACCATCGCGAGACGTGCTATTTCTAGGGCTAATATGTTATCTAGACCCGTCTGGCCTACGCCCGCTCATGGCACCATCTCGACATCGGCTCCGACCCACGCGCGCTCGGCCGCGTCGCCTCCGCTATAGCCCTGACCCTCATGGGAAAACACAAGCCCATCTTCGACCCTTCGACTGATTGCGGCGACTATGTTGTAGCCACAAACTGCTCACAATTGCACACCACCGGCAAGAAGCGCTTCCAGAAACTCTACCGCACACACACGACTCGTCCGGGCTCCCTCAAAGAACTCTCCATGGACAGGATGATCGCCAAGTGGGGAGGAGGAGAGGTTTTGAGGAAGGCGGTCAGCGGCATGTTGCCCAAGAACAGGTTACGGAAGGACAGGCTGGCGAGGTTAAAGACGTTCGAGGGGAGAGCGCACCCTTACAAGGAGAATATCCTAAAGGTGGGAAACGGCGGTGGACAGAGTATAGTGGAGCACGATGAGGTCAAGAAGACGTTTGCAGAGGTCAAGGCACAGAATGCGGAGGCACCAGTATCATGACGAGAGGTGGTCAAAGGGGTCAAGAGAAGATATACCATAGCATCAGGGTGCGTGTATAAGACATGTAAATCTACATAATTGTCCTTGAGCCGTATTTCATATTCTACGGCCACATGTACTTGGGAACTGGGTTTGACGTCGATTCGATAATCTCATGGATCTCTGATTTGTCACATCATATGCCGCGAGAGTGAGTAAAACGGTTGCATTCGCTCTACTCGTAAGATGGTATACTACTCTCACTCGTCCCCAACGAACAAAAAGAAATGGTGGTATAATGTTCTACTCTCCTTTGACAATCTCTCCAAAACTCGCTCGATGACCCAAAGAAATGTACAAAAAACCAATGTGCGACGGCATGATGCTACTGCATCTACAACTTCGACTTGGTACCCTTGCGAGTAACAGTGCAGAAAATCAGACCGTTGGGGTCAGATTGAGGAGCAAAGACAGTGGCGTCTTTGCCGGTGTTCTTGATGCCCTTGTGCCACGAAAGATCTAGTGCCATGTTAGCGAATGAATGCAGGAGGAGACAATTGGTCCCACGTACCGACTTCAAAGTAGTGCTTGTTGGGCAGCGCATAGTCGACAGCATCCACCTGAGGAACAGCGGCCAAGATCAGGTCGCACATCTTGTACATAGTTGCTTGTACACTGGCGCTATCATCCTCGGCGAAGACCTTCATAGTGATATCCCTTGCCGCGGTCCAGGCACTGTTGAAGTCTACGGCCTTGGCCTCATCCAAGTTCTTGAACAGCTTCCATTGCCAGCCAGCTTCAACCTCTGTACTCAGAATGCGGTCCCATGTTTCGGGCAGACGCGTGTATTCGTCACGGTGGAAGCCATGGAATGCTGACCCTGTGCTCTTCAGAACAAGGAGCTTCTCAATCTTGGAGCGAATAGAGACACCCTCGTTCTCGCGTGTCACGGATTCGACCACGCGAGTCTCTTCGCCGTCGCGGAAGAACGAGTGTGGGTGTGCTTTTCCGTCGATAGTCATGCGCGTCCATCGGTGCTGGATAATCTTAACGTGCGCGGCGTGAATGTGAGGGTAGGTCTTAACGAAGTGGTCGCCAATGATGGCAGCGAATTGCTCGGGCGGGTCGATAGGGTTTTGTTTTGCGAGTATGTAGGTTGTTTGCTTTTGAGTGTCGGTCGCGACTATGACAGAGTTGTCTGCTTTGGTGTAGCTGGAGATCGTTAATACAGGGTATGCTAGAGTCTCGGTGGAGAAGCGTACGAAGTCTCAATGTCTCCCTCAAGTAGGACACAGACTGTTTGTTCAACGACGGTGTGGACACCGGTGTTGGGGTCCTTGTCGACCTTGTAGAGACGGACGTTGTCCTTGCCGTAGCGGGCGTGGGTAAGCTGAGACATTGCGAGCGAAGCTGTGCAGATTAGGATAATAGCCTGGAATGCTTCAGATAAGGGCGCGAGGTGTATGTGATTAGGCGAGGGTCAGTTGGAAGCTGAAGGTGAGTGGATAGAGTTATCAAGAAGGGCGATCAAGCTAGATATACTTATGAAACGGCACCTTATCTGATGGACGGCACACGGAGGATACCGAACTGTACAGGAGCGGTTTGCGATTGAGGCACGAGCAAGCTATGGAGCGTCGGCAAAGAGGCGGCCAGAACGCGTTTCCATTCGTTGAGATGGCCATCGGCGAGCTCCGATCGAGGGAAGAGGCCCTGGATAGCGGCGCAGGGCGCGCACGTGACGGCGTCAGAACCGCTCTCCGCCCGGAGATGCACCAGGCGCCATGGGACTACGGGGCCTGAATTGTCGGCACATGGATTTCTGCGGCATGTCAGGCCATGATGGTGAGGTGCAGGGCGGTGGATCTGGTGGACGCGAGCTCAGCGTTGCAAGGGTAGGTGGGTAGGG